GCGACAAAAGACCGCGGATTGTGCGCGTCTGTCAGCAGCACTGGCTCTCGACCAACCGATGGCACCGATCATTACCAATCCCACGGCGACTATGGCCACCGCTATCAGGGTCGACAGCAAGAAGTTGACACTCGATTCGGGCACTCCCCGATTTGGTGACAACAAGCACGGCAAGGGACAATCGTATCAAGTCATCCGCGACCCTCACCTGTTCCTCGACGGATTCAAGACTTACTGTGAGAACAGTTACGGCGAGACTCCTTTCCTCGCCAGTGCCCAACGCCTGCTCTGTATGGCGATTCTGGACGATCAGACACGACAGCAGTTCACTGATGAGCTGACTCGTCACAGTAGTTCTTCTCTAACTTGGGAGGAATGTGAAGTTGCCTTCGTCGACAGTGTTTTGACTCCGACTGAACGCTTCAACACCGTTGCTCGTGTCGCCGAAATTGGCCGTCGTCACAAGGAGTCGTACCGAAACTTCGCTCTTCGTCTCCAACGATCAGTGCGCGTGTATCGAATTGATGATAACAACGCCACTGTACTGTCTGGCATCATGAGTTCAATCCCATCGGTGGAGCTCAACCTGATCAAGACGTCGATTCAGAAGATTGGCACCTCCTTATCTGAGGTCAAACTGGACTCTATCTGTGAGATCCTAACCAACCTCAGTGTAATGGAAGGACCAGACGACTCTCTCAAGAGACCCCACAGTCTCGTCGACGATGATGAAGATGACAAGGATGCCTCCTCGTCCAAGACCAGTAATAACCATGGTCACAAGAGACAGCGTCACCGCAAGAACGACCGCCGTGGCAAAGGCAAGCCGACTGCTGATTCGTCGTCGTTCCCATCTTCGTCTAACTCTGGCAAGAAGACTTTCCACTGTGACAATCACGGTGAAAATTACTCGCATGATACCAAGAATTGCAGGCACTGCACCAAGTCAACAAGAATGGCCACACTGCCCCCTACTGCAACAGTGATCGCAAGAAAAACTTTGACAGCAAGGGTGGCAAGAGCTACAAAAACAAGAAAGAAGGTAAATTGTCTATACCTCCTTTTTCTGAATCTGAACTTTTGTCTGTGTCTGATCAAACCTTGCTCACTCATGCTACTATTTCTCTACAGACAAGTGAACCTGAGGACCCCGTAGAGACGAACGACAAGACACTTCCCTCTCCTGTCATAACAGAACCTAGTAATAAACAATTACCACTGACTGGTTCTAATACTATCCCTCTTGGTCCAATTCTGTCTCCTTCGCTTGCTGTCCAAACTTCTTCAGCAGAAGAAAACAATCTGTCTGTAACTACAGAAAATGATTTATCTGTAACCCCTTTACCTGATAGCGAACAATCAGTTACAACTGATAAGGATGTACCTGCACCTACAAGTGCACGACCCCAATACGCGTTTCGCTCGTTGCCACCAAAACAATCTGCCCTTGTCTCTGTGCCATACTTTGAAACAAAAGAACCGTCTTTTGCTAGCCTGTCTAACTTTGCTGCTCAAAGTCAGGCTAACATGGACCACCACAGTGACGATGACAGTAGCATTGGTATGACGACTGAGGAACTCGACACTTTCGCATCTGACAAATTAACTATCAGACACTATGCTGCTATTAAGGATGCAGTAGAACACGACAATAGATTTCGAATCGAAATCCGTGCATTCAAGAGGACATACCATGCGTTAATAGATACTGGTGCTACACATTCTTTTATCAGACAGGACATAGTCAAGGAACATAACATTCCTTTCACTAAGATCCTCGGTAATTTTACACTAGCAAACAAGACTACTGTTGAACGCATTGGTGTAACTGATCAAGTTGAATTCGAATTCAATGGTCAGTTTCTCTCAGCCCCTTTTGAAATAATCGAAGATCAAGAGTTTGCTCTTACAATCGGAATGGATCTTTTTTATCATATGGGTTTCGCTCTCTGCGGCCTCCCAGAAATAAAAGAGATGGCACCTGCACATGATGTTCCCGTCGAAGACGAGAAACCATCTTTGCGTCCGATTACCGCCCCTGAAGAGGAACTCACCGCCGAGTTTAAGCGCATGAAAGGAAGATTCCTAGATGCCATCAGCAAAGCACTCAAAGACAATGAAAATATCTCAAAGACAAGTCATTGTCCCGTTCCTGAGATGATGGTGTATCTACCTGTTCCAAAAGGTACCATTGTGTATCGACGACCAAGACAATTTGCTCACTCCCAGAGACCTATCCTGGACGAGACAGTCGCACGCTGGTTAGAGGATGATGTGATTGAGCTTGCACCAGCAGGCAATCCACATAACAACACACTCACCCTAGCAGCAAAGAAAGATTTGAACGGAAAGAAGTCATTGTGGCGCGTGTGTCTTGACCCCCGTGCTCTCAATGTGCATTTACCGGAGGATAATTTCCCTCTCCCTCTTATCTCCGACATAATGCAAAAAGTAGCTGGTCATTCCATTTACAGCACCATCGATCTCACCCAAGCGTACCATCGTCTACCTATTCATAAAGAAGATAGGTACCTCACTGCTTTCATGCATGAGGGAAAACAATACATGTTCAAAAAGGCCCCCTTTGGTCTGAAGCCACTCTCGAGCTTGTTCCAAAGAGGTATGTCTCGCATACTTGGCGATTTGCCTTTTGTTCTGAACTTTATTGGTGACATTGTTATCTTTTCAAAAAGCAGAGAAGAGCATGCAGCTCATGTCAAATGTGTGATCGAAAGACTCAACGAGGCGAAATTGATCATCAACAAGAACAAGTGCAATTTTTTCAGCACACAGATCTCTCTGCTGGGATTCATTGTTGATCTCTTTGGAAAGAAAGTCGACCCTACCAAGTTGGCTAACATTCACGAATGGGCACCACCTACCACTGCCAAACAAGTGCAATCATATTTGGGCACCCTCAATTTCTTTCGTGAATATATCCCTCTCTACAGTACTATTGCTGCACCACTTGATGCACTTCGTTACAGAGAAGGAACTTTTAAATTATCAAAAGATGAAATGGATTCTTTCAATGGACTCAAGGAACTACTTGTACGAGCTCCTGTGTTATCCTTCCCAGACTTCAGTCGACCGTTCTACGTTGCCACGGACGCGTCCAACGTTGGAATTGGTGCGGTACTGTATCAGTTGCCGGAAGGTGTACCCGAACCGAAGGATATGCAGTCCGTTCCCTCGAACGTCAACTACATATCTTTCATGGCTCGCACTTTGCAGGACCGAGAGAGAAAATATTCCGCTACTAAGAAGGAGTTATTAGCGATCGTTTTCGCATTGAAAAAATTCCATCAATATCTTTGGGGTTACCATTTTACCTTGTTCACCGATCATCGGGCTCTTACTTTTCTTCACTCACAGCAAGATTTGAACCCAATGATGACAACTTGGTTTGACACCATCATGGCTTACTCGTTCAACATTGTTTACCGTCCTGGAGTACTCAATGTGTTACCTGATGCGTTATCTCGTCAGTTCCCTCAGAAGTTGTGGACTGACAGGCCTAAGTTGAAAACACCAATGAAAGTGTACGGCTACATTCATATGCTCAAAGACAAATCGGTTCCTAGAATCACTGTCGCGGCGAAAGACCGTCCTTCACTCATGACTGAGGTTCACTCCCTCGGTCACATTGGTGCGAACAAAATGGTTGACAAAATTCACGCCCAAGATAAGACGTGGCCATTCATGGTCAAGGATTGTCTTGAGCACGTCAAACAATGCCCTGAGTGTCAACGCATTAATATCACTCGCAAAGGGTACCATCCCCTCAAGGCTATTCATGCACATTTACCAGGCGAGCATATGACTGTAGATCTCGCTGGTGAATTCCATTTGTCCTCGAAAAACAACAAATATCTTCTCGTCCTGACAGACGTATGCACCCGCTTCGTTATTTTGAGAGCTATACCTGATAAAACAGCCGCTACTGTTGCGACCACGCTGTTTGACATTTTTACCCTGATCGGATTCCCCCGAGTCCTTCAATCAGATAACGGAAAAGAATTTTCCAATCAGGTCACAAAAACAATGACAGAACAATTGGGTATCCATCACCGTCTTGTCACACCCTATCATCCGAGAGGCAATGGACTAGCCGAGAACCGGGTTAAAGCGGTCAAAGAAATTCTTCGAAAAGAGACCAAAGGCAAAAACCACGAATGGGATCGTCATGTTCCCATGGCCCAATTTGCCCTCAATGCAAACATTGCGAGTCTGCATGGTTCCACGCCTTACTCTCTTTTCTTCGCACGCAAGGAAAACGGACACTACAATTACACTGACCTCTCGAACCAGGTCATGTCCCATGAAGACTTGCTGAAGAGACTCGAATTTATGACCACGATCGTGTTCCCCGCTATTGAAGCGAAGGCGAAATCTAATCAGCGGAAAATGATTGAGAGATTCAATAAAACGATACTGCACAACGAATTTCCTGATGGTTCCACAGTTATGGCGGTTGATCCTATCAAAGGAGACTCCCTCTCTCCGAGATATGAAGGACCGTTTACTGTTGTTGGTAAAAACAAGGGCGGTGCATACATCCTCAAAGATGGCACTGGCTCTATGCTTGGTCGTAACTATGCGCCCTCGCAGCTCAAACTTGTATATGAAGACCCAGACTCTTTCCTTACGTACGAAGTCGAGAAAGTTCTTGACGCTCGTTGTACAAAGGAAGGGACATGGGAGTACTTTGTCAAGTGGAGAAATTATTCTGATAACGACAACACCTGGGAACCAGAGGACAATTTTGTTGAGAGGAAATGCATCACGGACTATTGGGCCGATCACCCACCCCGTAATGAGGATCCTCGTCCGCACTCTCGTCATGATTCGCAAACGGATCAGCCAACGCTTACCACCGACGAGCAAATGAGCGAACCTCACAGTAGCAATCGCTCGAACAAAAAGAAGAACAAGTTCTAAAAAAGGTGAACACAACCTTAATCGCAATAAGCTCACTCAGTCCAGTCAATCAAAAATCAATGAGTTGAGACCTAGAACTCGTTCTCGGATCGGGAAGGATTGATATCCTCCGATTGACACATAAAACGCATCGACGTTTTGTTTGAACAAAAATCGCACTGACGATTTGTTCGAGGTTTTTTAATGGTGCCACAACCTTTTTCCTCACAATAATAACAAACATCCGCAGAGGTTTTCCCGCTTTCCTCTTGCAATCAAATTCACTATATTGAGGTTTTTATTTTTTCCTCACAGCTTATCAACATATCTACCGAGGTTTTTATTTTTATCCTCACACACACATATACATATTCTACTGTAGTCATTATTGTCTTTTCTACACCTGCTCTCCAGGGCTTTGCCCTTCCAAGGTTTTTCTATTTTTCCCTTATACCCGTTCTTTCATATGAGGTTTCCTTTTTTCCCCTCAAACATCCAAACGACAACTCTTTCGTTTAGTCATAGTACTCTACTCCACGTCGTTTTGTCAGTTAGTAAGAAGCACACACAATTACTAGCATAGATACACTACTTCTAGCCCTAATCTTAAGCCCGGCTTACAGCCTCTCCCCCCGTGGAGGGTTATGTGCTATAATCACGTGTATCATTAGGACGAAGAGTACATAAGGACTCTTCGTCCCTGAATTAAACAGATCCCTCTCTTTGTTTCGTTATTCCCTTTTTCCATAACCTCATTGCTTATCACAACCCCGGTTATTATTTTCCAGTCAGCACCCCATTAGTCAGCACCCCATTAGTCAGCACTTCCATTAGTCAGCGCCCATTAGTCAGCAACATCCACTCTGTATATATAGTCCCAATCCTCGTAATAACACCATCATCAATTCTTGCACCTTTCAACCTTGCTCTCCTGTTCCCTCTTGTCTCTTTCTTGTCCTTGTCCCTGTTTACTCTTGTCTCTTCCTTGTCCTTGTCCTTGTCCCCTGGCCTTTATCTCTGTTCCTATTACAGCGACCGAGGCTGCCGGTATGGGTTGCGATGTCAGAGATGTAGCTCGTGTTATACAGTTCGGTTGTTGGTGGAAGAATACGCTGGTGACTTTGGTTCAGCGACTTGGTCGTGCAGCTCGGGATCCTGAAATCCAAGGAACAGGAATATTACTCATCGCTCCGCCATCCGAGAAAAGAAAACACGCCAACAAGGATATCGACTTTTTCTTCAAGACCACAGGTTGTCGGAGGGCGGTCTTGGATGAAAAATTTGGCAACACTTCTGAACCCAACAAGAACTGTTGCGACAATTGCCATCCGACAAAGAGAACGATCCGGTCAAAGGAGATCACTTTTGTGGAGGTCTCCGCAAAGTCATTGACAGCCAACAGGAGCGCGACACGGACTACAGAGCAGAAGGAGCAAGCCAAGGATATAATTCTTGCCTGGAGAGAGCGCATGCACGAGGAGATCTATGCAGAGCTGTGTATGTTTTCGACCGCGGATGTTTTGATGGAGGACAAGAAGATCGACAAGCTGGCAAAGGAGTTCGAGAAGGTCAAGGCTGTTGAATCTATAGAGCTGATCCTGAATTGGAGGCCTGACGACGACTACGCCTTAAACACGCTCGCCAATGACCTTATTGAGCTGAACAGAGCTATTGACAACGCAATACCAACATTCAATCAACCTCAACAAACATGGCAGAACCTGACTATTTCGCAGCAGTCATCTCAAGGAACAGGTTCTACTGCCCAGATACTCGACAGTCCAACAAACCTGACTAGCACATACCAGGAGAGCGCATCCAGTAGCAGCTCAGCGATTATTACACCAAAACGCCAAGTTACAACCTTGGTTAATCAAGTCTGGAAAGCATGGACACCCGACCAATTGATATCCAAACCCAAGCGCCCTTATAACAAAAAATCAAAGTAACACTCATTTTATTATTCACACAAACCAACGATGCGTTCGATATGTTTGTAAACATCCATGTTTTCATTGTTGATATCTCTCTCCATGTTTCTCGTGTCCTCCTCTAATAACACTTGAAGTTCTTCCTCCGTATTGATCGGACCGAGTCTTGCCATGCGCTCGACGAATGCTTGGAACTGCCCACCATGCAACCTCTTCAAGCCTTCACTCATAAGATCCGTCACTGGCTCCACATGATCGAGTGCCGCCGGGAACGGGTCCTTGCCAAGAATATTGTTGTCTACGAGTGAGTTGCTGATTTTGAGAATGTCCTTTTCGGCGTCCTTTGTCGTGTGAAAACTGCTGTTGAAAGATACCCAAAGTTGCTTGTCAAGGCGAATGGCGATTATTGAAACAGAACGAATAGTGGAAGTTGTGATGTCCTTGATTGTTGACTTTGTCCTATTGCTCCCCCTACGGGCTATGCTCTGCTTTGTCTTGTGGATGTTATGCTCCTGATATAAGTCAGAAGGAATCCAGCTGTTCTCCTTGCCCTTGGTGTTCATGAGCATAGACGAAAAAATAGCCCTCTTCCTCAACGGAGACCATAAATACTGTGTTCCGTAATGGATGAGTAACATTTCTTGTGCGTAGTTGGGGTTGTTGCCTGCCTGCAACATGATAGTGATCGTCTTCAGGATTGCCTCGAGTCGCCAATGTCCCCGGCCTTGATGGCTGCCGAAAGCTCCATGTAAGCCACCATGTCCCTGACAAAAAGTGCTGCGTTGATGTTTGCTGTGCCGAGTGTTTGTGACAGTGTTGCTGAGTTGGCGAGGTATTTGTCCCTGATCGCCCGGGCCTTGGTCATCAAGACGTGGTTGATGAACCACTGCCTGTCCTCCATGAGATAACAATCAACTCCAGCCCAAAATCCACTAACATCGTCCTCCAAAGTATCCAGCCTCTTCCGATCCAGCTCCACCAGCCACATTCGCCTGACCATCGCGTCAAAGGTGTTCCGCAGCAACTCATTCGCAGTGTAATAGCACGGCATCGTCTTATCGACGCGCTTCCGTCCCAGCTTGCCGATGTTGTACGCCAATGACCCCGGTGATGTGATATGCCCATAATGAGTGCGAAGGATGGTGCCACACACAATCATCTGAAGATGGAAAAGCTGTAGGACAGGGATCGCCCACTGCAACCGATTGAACGCCGAGACATCCGGAGCGCGGTATCTTATCATCGTCCTGACCCTCGAAACCGTCAGCTGATTGCCTCCCACAATAACGACATGATTTCTGAACCACTCATCATCCAGCTGAAGCAGTTTCTTGACTTCCTCGAGGACTCGCATGTTGCCGTCGAGAGAAGATTGGTCGATGTCCATAGCGGGGATCTCAAATGCCCAGGTCTTTGAAACATCCAGCGGGCTGATTGGGCGAATTCTGAACGGGACGGCATAGTGTTGGAATGGCTCGTGATGTCGCTGTAAGCAGTCGAAAAGAAAAAAAAGCGAAGCGTGGCGAAGCGTGGCGAAGGCGTTCATCATTAACTTGCCGGGGATAAAGGTCCTTCAGTGGAGGGCGATCGGGGAGGGGAAGCAGAGCATCCTGGCTGAGATCATCATCCTGATGCCGACTGATGACGATTGTCAAGGTGACTCCGCTCACGACTACATTGCGGTTGTCGAGTCTCTGGTTGAACTTTGAGTCGTAATAGTTGATGTTGTCGTAGATAAGGATCCATTGATGCGTCCTTGCAAGTTTTCGGACTTGGGTGAGGCCATCGTCAGCCAACGCCTTCAACGAAAGGTACGCGGTTGGATATGATACGGACAGGCTCATGGCTGCCATCGCGTTTACGATCCTTTTTGGACACGCCAAGCTGTGCAGATAAAGTCCTAAAATTTAAGTGCATTATTTGCTCGTCAGTTTTCAACTTGATAATTATACAATGCACGGTCCTAGGAGAAGAGAGAAAGAAAAGTTGATTTGAAGACGTACCAATAGCCATCTGTAGATAGTTCGACTGTTGGCTCTTCCTGAAAACGATCATTGAACCAACGACAGGGACAAAGGCGAAATCGTAAGAAGATCGTTTTCCTCGCAATCCTGTTAAAAGGGTGGTGTTGTGTACGTGCACAACATGTGTGAGATGTTTAGCATCTGCTAGTCGCAGTAGGTGCATGTTTACTCACGTGCTAAGAGGGTTATTTAAGATAGGCAGATTCCAAAATAAAGAGGATATGTTTCTGTCCCGCTCACCTCCTGAACACATCCTTTTCTACACTTTTCCCTCACTACTTTATTATCATAACTCCCTTGCTACAACAGGTGGCAAGGCAAGGCGCCTTAGAGTGAAGAAGATCATCGATGGTTTCAAGATCAAAGGTCTCCATGGTGTTCCGGAGGTACCCCCAAGCTGGACATCGAAGGCGGCCATCACCAATGACCTTTTCTAGCTCGATCTCCACGCGTCGTACCAAAGCAGTCGTCACGGAACTGGCAACCGGACCGTCATATTCGCCTTTGTACAGGGTCTTGTCCCAACACTCGACTACAGCCTTGTGACCCCCGCGCGCGTAGAACTGATTGACATAGTATTTCACCCTTTCATGCTTAGAATTGAAGGCAGTAAGCAGAAAATCGCGGAAGGAAAAGTCGTCAATGCCGTCGATAAATTTGAACACTCTTAAAGCATTCCAGTCCGTTGGCGAAGTGGGCGCCTTGTGCTGGTATTGGATCCTACGATATTCTGATGGATAAAGATCATACTAGAGAGTACTGAAGCGATGGCGGGTAGAAAGGTGAAGTGGCAACGAAACGAAAGAGGCTGGTGACTAGTGACAGATGGCTGATGAGAGGGTTAATAGGCCGAGAAATGGACAGGAGAGCGTGTGTGTGTGTGTGTGTATGCGTGTGTGTGTGTGTACGCGTGTGTATGCGTGTGTCAAGAAAGCAGACCAAGCAATAGAATGAAGTAGATAAAGAGAACCTTGATCAAGGACTAAGAAGTGAGTATAAGGAATAGGTTAAAGCGTATGTTGTATTGGCGATACCAAGTAAAGAGCTATAGATTTGCTATCTAAGGCCCTTTTATACTTGTTAGGGCGAAGTCACAAGAGCAAGCTCTTGTCTCGTGACAGCGTGTGTATTATGCAAGGGTGAGGGGAAAGAGCGCGAGAGAGAAAGGAGGGAGGAGGAGTGAAGAAGGTAAAGAACAAAAAACTGTAATGCAATGGTTTTCTTGTTGCATGTCAAACCCCATGGTTAAGCTGTATTGCCATGGCACGCTCCATATTACACGGCTCAGCACACCAAGTTACACGGCCTTAGCACATATCCAGTGGTCACACGAGAACAGTGCGCCTTCCATTTTCGTAAATTGAGACTCTGCACGGCATCAGTACGCCTTCCTTTTTTTGTAAATTGACGCTGCCAACCCTTTTTAATTGACAATTGACCGATATGTAATTGATAATTGCACGAAAAACTTAGGAGGAAAATAACGAATTTCCTTTTTTAAGTTCGACGCCAATAATAGTCCACATTTTTTACCAGCCTTTTCTGATGGAGGGACTTAGGAGGATGTCCACATCCTCCTTAGATTGGGAATTGGATTCCCAACCCTCGTAATCTGAATAGTCTGAACCGAGCCTAGTGTCAATTGACAGTTAATTTCGATCCATATTAGGAAAGATCCCATTGATTCTTTCAGCCAATAGGAGAATTGTGGCGTCCTTTGTCCTGCGCCCCTAATATCTGATGACGTATCTTTTTTAATCTCTGATGACGTTTCTTTTTAATATTTGATAACAATGCAAGAAACTTTTCTTTTCTCATCTTCTCTCATCCCTCTGTTCCTTTTCATCTCTCTCTCTCTCTCTCTCTTCCCGTAACTCAGCCGACCATTGTGTAGCAGGTGAGGTGCCTAGTTACTGTTTTCGTTTGTTGCACGATCTGGTGTGTTTTGCCATTTGCTCTGGAGTGCTCTATCGGCTCGGGCAAGTGGTCCCCTCTTTCGGGAGGGTTGACTCCTGCGCCGGGAAGGCTGCTAACACTACGGAGATGCATTCATTGTGTCTCACGTATGGGCGCGAATCCCTCGTCAGGGCGAGAGGGCCGTGACCGTGTGGTAGTATGCTGATAGAGTCACACTTATCCAGCATTGTCTCACGAAGCCGGTGTGCGCAATGTCTCCAGTTTTGATTCGCATACATGCTCCATTGAAATTTATTGGCACCACTTTCGTCCTAACTGAACTCCCTACAGTAGACAGTTCTTGAAAGATAACTGTTTTTGGGTGTTCATGTGTGTCCTATCTACCGCTCCAATAACAAGCAGATGAAAAATTAATTCCTCCATCCCTCCCTAGGCCTTTCCCGCAGACTTATTGACTCCTTTATTTTCTCCGCCTTCGAGGCTGGCTCCGCTTCCCAAGTCTTGACTCTGTGTGCTCTACTCTCTTGTACTGGCGAAATGGCGCCGAAATCAAAAACGAAAAAATCCGCACCGAAATCGAAAAAGGTCAAGGAGGCCAAGCCGGCACATCCGTTTTCGTCAGCGGCCGTGGAGAACGCCTTCTACTTTGTCCGGACAGCCCCTCGCCTTTACTCAGCCATCGACTACTTTAAAACCTTCGACCCGAAAACCTCGGACAAGCAAAGGTTGCACAGTCACTGGAGCAATGCGCTGCAGATCCTTCTCGACTCGCCGGAGCAGCAGTATTTCGACCAAGGCAAACGCTTGAAACTCTGTTGGGAATCACCTGAAAATGGTCTTGGAACCTTCTGGCAGGAGCGGGAAGATGCCAAGACTGCCAGTGACATTGAGGACGCTGCCCGCGACAACATTCGCAAGCACTCTATTCGCTCTGCTGAATTCAACGTCTTGGGTGCAATTCGTAACTTAGACGACCAGAGTAAGTGCATCATCTCGAGCTATTCTGGTCGTCTTTTTTTTAAAGTGCTCCTGATGAATCTGTCACTGACTACACGTTCCTTAAAACGTAGGCCGTAGCAAGAGGGTCAGGCGGGCGAAGAAGAAAGCTCTCGGAAAGGAAAATACCGATCCTGAACATTTCGCCATGGAAAACGGCCAGGGTTCTCACGCCACTAGCTCATATACCAAGTCCCGGGAGGGGAACGACAACGGCACCCAAGATTCCGAAGCGCATCAGAGCAGTGGATCTCCGGAGGCTTGTGATGGTAACCAGGTGCCAGATGGACCTGAAAGCCCGGCCGCTGATTCCAATGTTAGTCTTGCATCCATGCATGGACCCCAGGAAACTTTTGATACTGACCAGGTTTCAGAAGGAGATAATACTGGCAGGGATGCTGGAGACGATGATGACCTGCTGTCACAGAAATCAACAGCATCTGAATGCGAACGTGAACGTTCGCTATCAAGGGGTATCTATTATCTCACTGGAGACGGAAGCAAGGATTGTTCAAAAGCTTTGTGGACTCCATGGCTTGTCAATGGCGAAGATCTGGCTCCCACATTGTGGAAGTACCGCGAACGTGCTATCGATGCCGCTCAACGCGTGGTTCCTCTCACGAGCTCAGTTGAGAGATTGTAAATAGACTTATGAATTCTTTCTGAAGGTTCTTTTTATTTAGGCTGTTGTCTAACACATACACTCTCTCTTTCTTTCTTTCTCTATCTCTATTTTACAGGGCTGTGAACCACATTTACCTGTTTGAACGGAACGATGTGGACAGTACATTGTTTGATGCCGTTGGGCTCGAGGATTGGCGGGCAGTCACATCTGTCACAATTGAGAAGGGAGTTGAAGATACCACGATGCTAGAATTGCAAAAACTCGCTCTCGAGCTCAGCAACTTAAGTTACCGTGAAGCGGAAGAGCTGATTTTGAGCTGGAACGGCGATACAAGTATAAAGAAGGTGCTGGTGGGATTGGTCGAGGGTGATTTTTTGTGGTCATCCGCGCCATTTAACGAACATGAGCTTTTAATCCATGTGTTCGACCCTTTTCTTAAGGCTTATATTTGTGGTGTGAAAGGAAGCGTCGGATGGTGGTAAGTAATACGGGATGTGATCACAACCAAACTACTCACTGAAAGGCGTATGAGCCTAACCATCAATATTCTCCACTGTAGGGACCATGCATTCCCGCCAAGTCAAAATAGGAAGAAGAGTCTCGATGAGAACAGCTTGGGCCGCCGACCCGACTTCATGCTGAGGACGTCACTACGTGGAATTATCTGCTACCTTTTCTTTATGGAGGCTAAGAAAGTACGTCAAGGCGCGGCGGTTGTTCAGGATGATCTAGAGAAGATGGCGGGCATGATGAAGGATGCGATCGATGACTTGAACAAGCAAGGAATCGACGTTGGCAATCTGGAGGTAATCGGTCTCCATATTGTTGGTAAGTTTTTTATTCACTTTTGAGAGTCGACACTTGTACTTTGCGCTTCAAACCTATAACACCTGGTCGCATCCGATCGTTAGGAACTGAAGGACACCTGTACGCCATGAAACTGGAGGCCAGAGGCATCTATGTGCTCCGATCGATCGCGGTCATCTATGCTCCTAAATCACATTTCAATTTCGGTGTGTTGGCCACGACAATCAATGTGCTAGTGCATGTCCAAAAGCGACTTGAAAAGACAATCTCGGACATCTTGGCAAGCCATGCCGCAGGGGAACAAGGACAGGACTTGACGTGCCCTGGATTCCATACACCGACTCGTGTATTGAAGGCGTAGGACTGAACTGTTTTCTGCGACCTATGATCTATGAGCTGCATTTCAACTAAGTCGTTCTTTGCTTTGAGCATTCTCGGCCAAGTTCAGGTGCCCGCCTTTGTCCTTTCCGTTTTTTTAAGATCAACAGTTTCCTCCACCTTGTTATCACGAACCTTGTTTTTCTAAAGAATAAAACGTCGTTCATGAGGATCATATGTATTGGGAGCCCACCTGGCCTCCCTCCCTATATAGATAAATAGACCATAAATGTCACAGGGGCAGAGTACGAAGGGCAAGACACAAGGAAACAGAGACTGGGACGAGGAATGATGATCTTTGTTCTGACTATGGTAGAGCTACAGCATTTTTCCCAGCCCTTGTCCAGACTGTTGCATCCGTACTGTTACTCAGGGGAGAGGGTCGACGGCCAGAGTTGTAGGACCGCTGTTAAGTCCTCAATTGGTAGGGGGGGGGAAAGGGGGGTTGTAGGTTGGAGGGGGGGGAAGTGATAATAGCGTCCTAAAAGAATCACACGAAACGATACACTGCAGCGCGCCAGCGAAACTCTTGTCAATACTGCTCTCGTCCAAGAAGTGATGTGTAAAAGGACAAAGAGCAGACAAGAGGGCTCGGCGCACTACTAATACTATGTCTACTAAAGAATATGACTGCTAACCTAAGGCATCGCCGCCACTGCCTAGCCACCACATCTTTTTGTAACAATGTGAACGAAGCATTGACAACGCGGCCTGGAATTCTCCTGCAGGGAGAAGATCAAAAGCAACGTCGCTATGAACGTTTGGCTGCTACAAGCACCTCTTCTTCAAGTTCCCAGCCACACCTCAATCACTCCCCCACCTCCTAAAAAAAAAAAAAAAAAAATACAGTGCTCCAATCAAGTGATCAACCAAAACGTGATTTCGACGTTTTTTTTTGAAATGCTCATTCACCAATGTTCCAACCGGTCCCCAGATTCCTGTCATTCATTCTCCTGATTCATAACCCCATTCATCACCACTTGTCTTTTTTTGCAAGTTCCGACACTGGATCATCGCCAGAATTGAAATGCCTAAATCCGCTTGATCAATTAAATGGATCGCATGTAGTGGAGAATGATTTGCATGTAAATTTTTACATGGGTTTAGCACGGAACAAACAGGTTTTATTAAAAACCACTATATCAATGCACTTTCTACAGACAAACTGAAAGCAATTCCATACTAAGGACATGGTGTGCGATCTAGAATTCTTCGATGTGCAAAGCCAGCCATTCTCAATAGAGTACAATATCATGATAAAATGTGAAATCGTGCTAGATCCATGTAACAAAACACCTGTATTTCGCCTCAAAGATACAGTTGAGAGTATAATTGCCTTAGATAATCACATACAAGAACTACTCTTATGAATCTTGCAGTGAGTGGTACAGTTTAATAGTAGATGGACACCTTCAAGAGATAGGTGTGTGTCGCATATTCGCCTAATGGCACCCCAAGATAGATGGAGACAATAGACTACGAAGCGTAGAATTGAAATTTTTTGAAACCTGTGGATGCCCAAACCTTATTTTCATATGTATGTCCAAGTTCTGCGGACTTATGTCCGGACATGACATTTCACTTCGTAGTCCGTTGGATTGCACAAAACTTCAGGCCAATTGGGTTCGTAGTCCTTCCAACTAGAACGTCCGCACTAAAACCATGCGTTTGACGCAGGCCAAATTTCGTCATTTTGATGATTCGAGTGGAATTGGAATGCTTGTTCATGGATGCTAATGACCCCTTGTTAATGACTCATTCATTGCTACATTCTGCCCACACTTGACCTGTCAGAGAACTGTACGTTGTCTTGGCACTTGGGAAGCAAGTCATTGGCGTTGGTTTTCATGTTTTATTGTCTCATTTTCGCCTACGACTCCATTCTTTCTAGGAAAATAGTAAATATAAAACAAATATGGTATTTATTGTCCTCACTACCCTTTGTCCTCCCTATCCTTCCTTAACCCTCGGTCGTTGCTGCTGCCTTATCGCTCTCAGCCTTGAGAGGTTCTCTCACAGCATTGATGCTCATGCCTGTGTAATCCTTGCAAGCAAGGATCGAGTCAATGGTTTTGTCTTCGCTTGCCGCCTTTTCTCTAATTAGCTCAATGAGTTCTGCCCTGCGCCTGTACTGTCTCTTCTGATTCTCCCCCCAAGCCTTGTACGAATCAGCATATGCACGATCAAGAGGCCCATGGTACTCATCCCAAGCGTTCCTGAGCGTCCATGCACCTTTGTCTGCGTGCATTATATAATTGAATGGCGCTTGTTGCTGTTGTTGCTGTTGTTGATATGGAGCATGATGGTGAAGAGGTTGAGGATGGAAATGGGGACGTTGAGGATGTTGAAGGTACTGAGGATGTTGAGGATGTTGAAGATGGAAACCAGGGTGTTGAGAAGGTTGAGAATAGAAGTCAGGGTGCTGAGAAGATGGGTGATGGAAGCGAGGTTGCTGAGGATGCTGGATAAGCATATGTTGTCATCTCCTTGAATTCCTTGACCAATTGGGCGTACTGTGCCATCTGTACCCCCATTGCTTGTGTATGTCGCTCATGTTGCTGTTGAAGTTGTTGCTGGTACTTGGCTTCCATGGCAGCTAGAGTCCTGTTGAGAACGGTCTGTTGTGAGGCAGATCGGTTGATGGCCTCAATAATATCTGCGCCATCAACATGGATACCAGCAGCAATGGCGCCAGAGGTTTCCCGATGTTTGCTCAATAGCTTGAAGAAGCTCCTTTGAATAATCCAGAAACAGTTGGCTCTGGAAGATCTCAGGCAGCTTCTCAAACTGTTCGAAAGGGTCCTGCCAGTTCCAGGTACAGGCTGCAGGCAAAGAACGGCGTCTTGGATGATGACCCGCCGCATGCGCACCATAAGCTTCAGAAATGCAACCTTGTCTGTGTGCGCATTTTGCTCGAGTCCTGACTGTGCTGCTGGGATATCGGGTTTGGCCTCAAAGAAGACATCATCTTCACGGACTTCGTCTGGGTCGTACTGTCGAGAATCTAGACTAGAACAAGGCAGAGTTGACCTTTTCTTAGGCAGGATCAGGAAGAGAGGTGGAGGAAGAGAACAAAGGGAATAGGGAGTCAGATATGGGTTTTCAAGGTGTAGACAAAGTATTATTCAAGTTACTAGGTAAGGATCAAACTATTTGGGGTACTATGGGATATATATATGTGATTGTGAGCAATGCTAATTAATTGTCTTGGGCTCATTCAACTGCGCCCAAGGATCAACTGATCGTGCCAAGGGTCGACCGATCGTGCCAAGGGTCGACCGATCATAGGGAACGACGCGACACGTACCCTGTCATCTCCTCCATGCAAGTCTTGTGCCAGGCCTCAACAACACTGTCATCATGTCCATCAAAAACTTGCTCGATCCAGCCAAACAGCATGGCTTGCAACTCTGGAGGTGGTGGGACGAGGTCACGCTCAAGAATATAGAGCTCATCAGTGCCATTAAAGTGCGCCATAAAGTATACACCTTTGATAGGGTTCTTGGGAGCATAGAAACTCATCATCTGGTTCATCACCCATCGCCCGAGATGTTGGATATCCTGGATGCCAAGTCCTAGCTTGAACGCCTCCTTGGTACCTGCATGGCGACCGGCGTGGGTGAGCCTTACTGAAAAGACCTCACAGGCACGCATCACAGCGGCAGTTGCCTGTTGTTGTGCTCTGCTTGTGAGAGCGTCAATGCGTGTCTTGTCCAGCTTGTCCTGAGCAAGCTCATGCTCTAGCTCTGCCTCGATTTGCGCGGCACTGTTGGTGACAGAGCTGAGGTCAGGATCAGGCACAGATGGGACATCACTGCCAACAAGGACCTTGATGTCCTTCCACTTGTCTACATCTGAGAAGTCGGGAGGGCTTTCCTTGTTAATCTAGTATGGAAAAGAAGAGGAGAAATAAAGTCCGTTAAACTTGGGTGCATTTCACAGCAAGTAGCCAGTAAACAAATATTTAACATACCATGAACCGCTCGAGCATGTAAAATGCAAATGCTCCCACAGTACAGCGACGAAAGCTCTTGTGGCGGAAGGTAGTGGCGTAGAGCATGGCGCCCTTCTTGTTTGTTTTGCCACGTCGTAGGCAGAACGTGAGTCCACAGGCCCACGTCGATCCATGGGCGTTCTTGCGGTTGAGCGTTGCAAAGACATCAGACAGATTGAGGTTCCGGATGTCCTCATCTCTGAGGAGCATATGGTGCCGAGCCAGAATGCAGAGACGCTCACGGATGAGGGGGAACCGGGTGATGCACTTGTATTTGCGGACTCCTTTGGTTCGGTGTACAGGCTGTTGTTGCCAGGTGTACGTTGCCATACGTACCAGCTTGTTACCTTATAAAAGAAGGGAGATATGCCAGGTTGCTGTGAAAAGGTAGGGCATGCTTTCATGGTGTTTAGTTGTCATTACCGTCATATGTGTCGCGTGTGTCACAAGCTGTGTTTCTTGTTGTTTCAGTTGTAGCCTTGTCATAGACGAGACGAACGCCATAAGCGTTGATGGCATCATCCAAAGGTCCATCGGCACGTGGGTTAGGCGCAGGTTTTGGGCACAAGGTGGTCCTTTGTTTTTGAAGCTTCCAGAGATAAATACAAGCTTTGCGGTAGTTATCAACAGTTCCCAGAGACAAAGGTACCATGATCGCAATACGACCATGTTTATCAAGTACAAGACCAGAAAAGACTAGTAATAATTGAAAGGTCAAACAAATATCAGTGTCATTATACACAGATTAGCGGCTTATAATGGTTTATAGATTTTTTTATTCCGAGCACGATAGACAGTTATAAACCAGTCACATATGTGTGAATAGATTGTTTCATGTGCCCTCTCCTCTCGTGCCTGTGCCTGAACACATTGAGAACTGCGTTGCCCTCCTGCTTACATCACACTCTCTGCTCTCTATTCCTCTCTGCTCTTCCCTCCCTCTATCCCTAGGTCCTTCTATCATCACTCTCTCTACTCCCCTCTCTACT